TGGCAACATGTCTGGCGCTGTAAGTACAAAGTTGGTGGATGCAAATGTACCTGCTTACATGGATGGACTGGACAGAACTGTGAGATAGGTGAGTTATTGTGGACACTATGGCAGAAAATACATCACTGCATGTGTTGTTAGCATGATTTAAATCATGTTTAAAGTTTAAACTTTTGGTCCAACACAAAAAAGTTCTCTCACCTAGAGCTTTCGACCTACTGAGGAAGACCAGAGTGACTGGTCGAAAGCTCTAGGTGCAGAGAACTTTTTTGTGTTGGACCAGTTTTAACTTTAAACATGTAACTACCAACACAGATGAACTTTCATGATACATGTTTTAAATCAGTTTAATTATAACTGCACCAGCAGCTGTATATTTCACTCATACAGACATCAACGAGTGTGTCAGGGCCAACCCTTGCAAACATGGAACCTGTGTGAACAAAGATGGTGGATACAAATGTACCTGCTCACCTGGATGGACTGGACAGACCTGTCGGCAAGGTGAGTTATTTTTGTGTACACTATGGCAGAAAAAAATATCTGTATGATTGTGTTATTAGCATGTTTTCAATCAAATTTTTGTAACTGCAGAAGCTGCTGTATATTTCTTCATACAGACATCAATGAGTGTGTCATGTCCAACTCCACCCTTTGCCCACATGGACACTGTGTGAACAAAGATGGAGGCTACAGATGTAGATGCTCATCTGGATGGACTGGACAATCCTGTGAGATAGGTGAGTTACTTGTATGTTAATATTGCCACTCACATTGAGGGTACTTCAATAGTTTCTTTACATGTTATGTATCATGACTTTCTTCAATTAACACCAAATTGTTAGCCAAATTGTTAGCCAGTGTCCTCACTATGAGACCGAAAGAAACAGATTATTTCAGACAGTTATAACAATTTCTCCATCCTTTCGTCATTTAGAAGATCACCAAAAAACTGCATTTCTACTAAGATCACAAAACTCACTAATTATGCAGAATGTGGGACTATTCATTATCCACTGCCTTCAAAGAAGAAGTCAAACTCCATATATAGCTAGCGTAGTAGTAGAAGTAGAAGTTTTTTTTCCAGACAGTTGTTACCTGTCTCCTGTTACTGTATTGCAATGAGTTACTTGATTGTAAAAGCAATCGGGCATGATTTTGCGAATAAAGTTTCAATTAACACACAGACCTAGATGAGTGTACCAGAAACCCATGCCACTATAGCACCTGTGGACAGAAATTGTGCACACAAATGTCTAACTGGAATGACTTGTTTATTTTGGAATATCTCTCAGTTTTTTTTTTAACAAGTTGGTGAGAGTAAAAGTCTGCTGGTCTACGTGGGGTCGTGTGGCGCAATGGCAGCGTGCGCAACTCGGAATCAAGAGGTCCCGGGTTTGAGTCCTGACATGTCACCGATCTTGTGCCCTTGGGAAAGGCACTTTACACGACTTTCCCCACTAGACTCAAGTAAAAATGAGTATTGTCTGTCCAGTATCTGTTTCTATGTGCAGGACACAACACCAGCAACAGCTGCCTCTGCTCCACGTGTATTGCATTGTTGCAATTTGCATAAAATAAAAAAAATAAAAAAAAATATGTATACTGTCTGTTGCAGCCCAACCATGCTCCGGAGGGTGGATGGAATACAACAAGCACTGCTATAAGTTGGTGAGAGGCAGAGTCAACTGGTACGTAGCAAGATTTCGCTGTCAACATCAAGAAGACGCCAACTTGGCCTCCATCACAAGCCCAGAGGAGAACAACTTCATTGCAAATCTCATCTTGAATGGTGGGTTTAATAACAACACTAGTGATGCATAGTTTTACCTAAACCCAATTTAGGTTCAGGTCCAGATTCAAGTGTAGAGGTTTAGGTTCAGTTCCGGACTTGTAAGTCTGGACCTAAACCCATGGCATATACAAATTATTGCATGTTGGCAACCTTGCAACGTTGTCTGGGTGAAACTTTGGCCACATAACATGGAGGCCAGTACTTGATGATGCCTGATGGCAATGTTTTCTTCGTTTTGCAGCAAAGATTTTACAATCTACGGGAGGTTTTTGGTGGTTTGAAAAGAAAAGGGGCAGGGCATGTGAAATGGTCTTATGGTAATAAGTCCGGACTCGGTTCTTGACTTTTACGTTTTTTTTGGACTTGAACCTAAACATTCTTACAAGTCCGGATCTAAGTCCAGTGAACCAGTATGCATCACTAAACAACACAATTCTCTTTTTTCACACTCAACATTTTCACCAAACCAATAAACCGACATTAGGCATAACACTCATGGACCTGTGAGTTGTTTTACAGTAACATATAACAGTTAAAAGTACAAGATAGTCACACTTTTGCAACCTGCAAATGGCTAGCATCTACATGAGTTAAACATGCAGCTAGCTTTACCTAACAACATCATCATCATCATCTGTCATCCCTGGCGGGCAATATAAAAATCAAATTTATGATTACCGATTGATTCAGAAGTTCTTTTGGAATGGAACAAAATCAGAGCCCTACAGCCCTGCCTTAAACAGGCAGTTGTGTCTTGTCATGAGGATGAACCAACTTGCAGCTCTTAACAATTGCCAATGAATGGACCTATACCATTATTAAGTCACAGTTTGTTTACCTGTTCTAAAGAACATTCTAGAACAGTCAGTTAAAGAATAAAGATCATTTCAAGTTTTCAAAGTAAGGTATGTCTGATTTTTTGCTGCGTCTAGTTGTGTTGACACAGCATTACATGCCGTATGGGTGATTTAGTTGTGACATTAGACGAAAGTAGTACTGTATTAAAAGCCTTATATTAGGCTAATGCTACACAAACACACACCGCACTACGCACCCCTGTACAATATAAACGTTGCTTGACAGGCATTCATTGCGGTAAACAAACTGTGACGTAATAATGGTATAGGTCCATTGAAACAAATGAGCTGCCTCGTAATCATTATCAAGCAACTGACAAATTATGTTTTTATTTAGTTCCAGCGAGAGGGTTAAAGGAATATAAGGCCTGGTTTGGAATGCATCGCAATCTGTCACAGTTAGTGCCGTGGGCAGATGCATCACCTTACAGGAACTGGGCTTCCCGTTTTGGCAATGGGATATTTGAAGATTGTGGTTCTATCTACGTAACAATGGTAAGCTCATTATTATTATCATCATTATTATCATTATGGCTTCATATTGTTTTCCCTTGTGTTTCTTCTTCTCCTTCTTCTTCTCCTGCTTTCATTACATGGATTCAATTTGTTAATTTTGGGGCTAGATGACATGAAATTTGGCATGAAGGTACATGTACATTTGTAGAGCGGCCAAATGTCGGCCTTTCTAGTTTTGCTGTTTCTTCTTCCTCTTCACCAAACAGTGACCTCAATGACCCAAACCAATGTTGTGACTGTTGCCATGGTAACTAGTGTTGGGTTACATCATGTTGCAATTTCACAGCAGCAGGAATTCAGACTCCTGTCTGACCTAATAATTTTATATGAATGTGTTTGAGTAAGTCAACAGAGCAAAGTTTAAAACATTTGCTACAAATGCAAATGTTACAGTTTTAATTTTTGTTGTTGTTGTTGAACGTGTGTTGAACATTTTTAAATTCAACAGGACAACAGTACATGGACAAGGCCTAAGAAGGGACAGTGGATCGGCCAGAAGTGCTCTAATGTTCTTCCCTACGTTTGTGAGAAAAGCGGCTGGTACTAAAAGTTCCAAACCTGATCAAGGAAAAAATCCAACCTAATTTAGAATTTAGTAAGAAGCACACACACTTAACATTTAAGGAATCTATATTCTAGAGTTGGATCAAGTGACGATTGTTTGCTATACTTTCTGATTATAAGTTACAATCATGTAGAGTGATTTTAAAATGCCTTTGCTGCAAAGCAAGCAGGTAATGCTACTTAATACTAATGTGGAAGACTTAATATGTCCTATCTTAGCTGATAGCCCTTAATGTCACATAATATGCAGGGACCCTTCTTTGAATAGGAGATGGCCACTGCCATAATATGCACCAATGTACATGGAGGTGCGGGGAAGAATTTTTATACTATACATGTAGATGTGTTTCATGGATCAGTGGTACTTGTATTTTTTAAATCTTTATTAGACCCATTTTTATTAGATTTTATTACTCCTGGGACAGAAGTATTGCTTTGGGTGGTGATTGTTTAGTGGGAGTTTGTATGTATCTCATCCTCAGCAGCAAGGATTGAAAGTGAGTGGGTGGAGATTAGGTTTAAATTGATTGACAAGGTTGCAGCCCAGGTGGTAGAATGTGGTACGAGCTAGAGATTGAAAGGAATTTGAACTGTATAATCATGGTAATACTATGGAACATAAACTATAGTGTAATACCAGAATAAGTTACGTCATACAATGACATTGTACATGTATGACATATTGTATTATATAGAGTTCCATAATGTCATATCTTGATTGAACAAACAGTAAACCAGAACTGAAAAGATGTAGAAGCTAATACCAGCCTCTTCCCTGACCTGACATCCCTAATATGGCCAAGTTCAAGACTGCAGTAAACAGATTCCTGCTGAAATCTTCTTAGAGATTTTCTACTTTTTTAATTGTTTACTTATACAATTATGTACTGTGTAATAATATATGTATTATGTATATTGTAATTGATGATAGAGGTAAGGATAGCAAGGAACACAATGTGTGTAATTAAGTCACCTTGAGGTGTATTAATGTGACATTGTAGTGATTGAGCCAAAAATCATTGCATAACGATGCTAACAACATCAGGCTCATTTTGTATTGATTAGAAAAAAAGGCAGGTTGTTGACCGAACTTGCTCATATAAGGTTAACATCTTGTCTGTAATGTTATGTTGGGAAAGTTATAATCTGCAACAGGCAAAATTCTGATTGCAATGTTGATAAAAAACGAAAACTGAAAAATTAGGGTTTCACGCAAGTGCAGTACATTCTGCCAACATGCTGTCTATGTAAGTAAGACCATAACTTACATGGTAGCTATGGCAGTTGATGCGGGGATGCATCTCAGTCCAGTTCCCACTGCGATAAGCAAGGCAGTCAACACCACTGACAAGCGTAGTCCTGTAAACAATACAAGTGTCAACATTACTGGAGTTACTGTAACAAACTCATGTTTAATGTTTCCTCAGAAGTAATTTAAAAAAATAAACACTCAAATTGATGACTAATTACTTGTTTGCTTGCTTATTTAAAGATTATTGACAATATCTACAATATTGCTAAAATGAACAATACATGTATGAACAGATGGTCAACTGTGTTAGGATGGTAAGGATGGCAATTTTTCATTCAAAATGTTGGGATTTTCTTGTAAAAAATGAGGGATTCTTCTTACCTTGGCTTACATTTCTATGCCTATCAGACACCTTCCATGGATAGAGCTTCTGATTGGAGTACTGCATCTCACAGATATATATCTACTGTTAGCAAATGTAGGTGTTGCTTTTGCAGCGAGAACACAATCCCAAATGCTGCAAAAGCACCACCTACATCGGCTACATACATTGTGTATAGTGTCAAGAAGCAGTACTCCAGTCAGTAGCTAGAAGCTCTGAGGAAGGTTATATCATACATACCATTATGTTTAATATATACATATGACACTTAACAGGTGGCAACAGTAAATGCAGCAAATAAAAATCCACATAACCTACATTTGCATTGTACACGGACCGGTGCAAGTTAGGTGCAGGTAGACATCAGAAATACCTACACAGCTCCACTTTTACCTGTACAAACCTGCATATACCCAGTACATGGACCAGTGCAGGTTAGGTGCAGGTAAATATCAGGAACACCTGCACAGCCCTGTTTAGACCTGCACAGTTTACCTGCACTAAGGTGCATATGCACCCAGTATTTCCAGCCATACAGTTTCATGATCTCCTAAAGTACTGACCTTTGACCACCAGTATCCACATAGCCACTACAGTGAAGGCCACATATGTAATATTGTCCCAGTTTTCTAACAGCGCGATATCGCTGTCCTTCCAACCAAACGCCAGCTTTGCCGAGACTGAGATCGGACCCCACGAGTTCCACACAGCTCCTTGTGCCACCCCAAGAAGTGAGAAGACGGCTAGGACATACCACCTCCGTCTGTATAACACCGGACTAGTCTCTAGACCTGTCACACTGTCCATTGTTGTAGGCTGACCGAAATGGTCAGTAAAATTGTTCAAACTAACAAACGCACAGGCACACACAGCTTGTTTGGTGTAGTATAGCCAGCTTCTGCCATGCCACGTGCCTGCAAAGCTGATGTGTTATGCCAAGCGCTGTTATACCGGATATACAGTCACACTCTGACACACTGAAAACATTTATACCTCTGCTCAAAGAGGTAAAAAAGTGACCTTTGTATTGGGTAAATGTTTGCACAATAGTCGTACGTAACTGTTCTGACTTTTGACCCCAATTTTGCCTGCAGCTCAAGATATCACGCAAATGATGTCTACATTTTACATAATCTACAAATGTATGCCTACAAATATATGAGGTTAACTTTTAACAGACTTATCAATGCATTCAAATTATTCTATGGAACTTTTGGAAGCAAAGTGTGATAACCATTAAAACCCCATGTGATACAGGTAGTTATCACATGGGAATGAACACCCATATCAAACATTATTGCGGCAAAGCCGTAATGATATGATATGATAACCATTAAAACACCATGTGATATAGGTAATTATCACATGTGGGAATGAACACCCATATCAAACATTATTGCAGCAAAGCCATAATGATATGATATGATAACCATTAGAACACCATGTGATACATTATCACATGGGAAGGAACACCCATATGAAATATTATTGCAGGCTTTTGCAGCCAAGATATGACAATGATATGCTATGATACCATGTAGAACCCTATGTGATACAGGTAGTTATCGCAGCCAATGTACGACAGAAACAAAATTAATATTTACATAATGTCATACAATATTTGTCTAGGATCCAAGAAAATAAAGTGGTGTAATGACAACACATCACACAAACTGCCAGACAACTCACTGTCAGCGTTGAGGTACATCAGACCAGGTGCAAACAGGAAGAAGGCTATACAGCCCCAGTTTGCCAACATGCCGATCTCCCCATCTGTCCATCCATATACCAGCTTTGCTGAGTCAGAAATCGGCCCCCAACAGTTCCAGACTGCTCCCTGTGTAATAGACATGATCGTGACTTACTAGTATATCCACTGCAATTTCAGTGTGGCAAAACTAATTTCCAAAGTCACTTTTGTGGTTAAACTTCAACTTAAAGTTGTATCTGTAAGACCTGATCTATCTATCATTAAACTATAGTTGCAGTGTACTCCTGGCCGTGTTGTTGTAGATATGAGCAGTAATATCTTTATGTTGTTACACATTCCATGGGATTGATGTAAGGCATAGATCAATGAACACATGGCTTTGTAGAACGTAGTCCGTCATGTTTTTGTCCTTTTCAACCATTTTTCTAATTACTTAAGTGTAGACTAGTTCTTTTAGTTCATCAGTGACGCTGAAGAAGAGTGGTGAATGTCACTCGAAACATCTGCAAGTATAATCTCTGTAATTTATCCCATAGTAGAGTTTGAATTTTCTATGGGTAATAGAAATGGTTTGCCTCTACGTTTATAGTTATCTAAGATCCCAAATACGTCTTACCTGGGCAATACCGAGTAGAGAGAAAGTTCCCATGATCCACCAGCGCCGATGGTACACCAGGATGTTGGGGGGACTGCTGGGAGCTACAGACGGCAGAACTGTCGGCGGCGGAGGCAAGACGGATTCTTGTTCCGAGTTGGTGGAGTAAGTGTGGGCTGCATAGACATTCTGCAAGAAAATCAGAGAGATGGTACTGACTTTGCCTTTTAATTTCATGCATTGTTAGCATCATTAGATAGCTTTAAACAATGTTAAGAGTTGGATATTCAAGGGTTAGGTGTAACAAGTCATTCAGTGTAATGTAGCCAGCTGCCGCCGCGCCGCGTGCCTGCGAAGCTAGTGTGTTACGACGAAGGGCTATACAGATACAGATATTTGCATTATGCATAATTTCATGCTAAATTCTCATTACCTTTGCAGATACAGATGACGTTAACTTACAAACTACATTACCTAAGAGACACATAACAAATACTGTACTACTAATTTGGAGCTGTTGCTCCAATGCCAACCCCCTCACCCCCACCCGGCACCCCCACCCCCATCCCACACACACAGACACAGGCAAACCTAAAACAGTACTTCAAGTGGGCTCTAATAACAGTGACATTACATTACAAATGCTAAGTAGTAACGTAAAGGTAAGTAATTAAATAAAACGAGGCTTACCTGTCCCAATATCGGCTGTTTCTCACCGGTACTTCCGTACATAACGCCCCCCTCCCACCCTTCTTCCGGCATATCAACAGCTTTGGAATTGGGCATTTCCAGAATTAGAATAAGTAGGACTAAAATAACATTTTGCTCCTTTTTATCATGATATCGTTCTTAATCTCATGACTAAAGAAAACAATTTAAACCTGCACCGGTATAGCAACAAACTGGACTAGAAAACTAGGAACCTTCCGAACCGGCTCCTAGTAGCGACTGTAAACAAAATCACGTGGTAAATGTTAAAGCACGTGACGGCATTACGCAACACTAGAGTTCGGAGGTATCATACCTCCGCGAACCTCAGAGATTTGCGTTCTTGTTTTGTGTTCTCTCTTCCCATCTGTCCATCCAGATACCTGAGCTTTGCAGAGTCAGAAATCGGGGTTTAGCCAGAACATTGACTTTGAAATTTCAGTTTTGCTCCCTTTGTAACAGACTATTCCAGGCAATTTCAAACAGAAAATTTCAAAGTCAATGTTCTGGCTATTCTTTTAAATATGTAGTAAGTTGAATCGACACCATCCCATGAGCAAATACATTACTGATACATTACATACGTACACACATCAAAAGTTTTATAGTATTGCCTACGGAAGGCTGCCTACGGATTACGAAGACTAAAAAAAGGTCTGATTACGCCTTACGAAAAAGGGCATGCAGGCTCCCGAGAAAGTTTTCGTTACATGTATACCTTATATAATTAGCTGGTAAGGGTTATACCCCCCTCCTACATGTAGACCCCGTTCTCTCAGGTCAACGGTTTCAGGTTTTTTAAGCCTTTTTTTTTTAAGAAAAAAAATCCTGAGTGTTTCCGGGGGTCGAATGATCATTTTATGATGTTTGCGTAAGAGGAAAAGAAGAAAAGGTAGACATCAGCACCGAGCAAGATCAAGCCCGGAGGCTGGGTGGAATTTGTCTGGGATCAGACAGTCACTCATGTTTTCTGATGTTGTTGGAAAATTGATTTCTCTGCTTGTAGTGTTTCAAATGTCAAATGTGACGATCTTTCTTTAGGGTGAACAAATGATGGGGGCAGATGGAGAGAAATAGTGGACACGCGCAAAATGGCGATGATAAAATAAACTATGATGGAGGGCAATGTTGCACGGAAAAGACGAAGCATTCCACAAAATTCATCTAAACAGTTGCAAAAACTGTCACTGAAATGTTCACACAAAACCCTTTTAGAGCCTCTCTGACGAATGAGGCAGTGATCACTGAGGGGGGGGGGTAGTTTTGTTGAAACTCAGTTATTAAGTTTTTTTTATTATTTCTGGTTGTACCATCTGTTCTATAAAGGACTGATTCATAATTCTAAAATCCGCATGGATGCTTCAAGCTAATTTGTGACCTCACATCTAACAAAATGTCCCACAAAATTTGTCTTCTTACTCCGAAATACACAATGGACAAAACCTTAAATGTTTATTCAATAATTACTGTTCTACACGTATCCTTTCCGAGCGGACGCAGTCAGAGGTACCAGGCGTCTTCATAGAGGCAGCACCGCCGTAAAAGTGGGTGTCTCTTTATTTATTTATTTTTTATTGTGTCTCTTTATTTCTTTGATTTACTTAATACTATTACTAAATTAGTGTATTTAATACCTTAAATACACTTTTACAATTTGCATTGAAAATAGAACGTAACAGCTTAAAAAAGTGCAGCAAAATTTGATAAAACGGGAAGACCAATTTGTAAAAGCTGGAAATAGTTTAATTTGCTTCTTTATGTTGTCGTTGGGCTTAACAAAGGCATTATAAAGTTTTTGAATTCAGAAATTTTATCTCATGCTGGCTGCTAGCAAATATGAAGATGTATGCAAGATTATCGTGTCGACATTTACACGTACATGTCGTAGAAAAAATTAGTGATTCTTCTTTGGATAGTTCCAAGTTCTTGAACGCAAATCTTTTTGTGAAGATCTGAAAACAATATTTGCAAGAGAAATATACTAGAAAACAACAAGCTCAACTGAAAAATATACTAGAAAAATATACTAGAAAACAACAAGCTCAACTGAAAAAAGTAGATGCTTCCGGGCACAACAGAGGTAGAAATTGTCTGGTGTCCAACAAACAGCGACACGTGAGGTTCTGGATTTACATGGAAATTGGATTATCCTGTCTGCCTATGACGTAACCTGTGTTATACAATCTCTCACTGTCACGGTCTGATTGGACCTAGTACCTCCTCACCGAGAACTTAACCTTGCCAAACACCTCTAAGTTGAGAGGATCATTCCGCTTCTCAGAACTTCAAACTAGTTCCACTTGCGATAGTTCTAATGAAGTACACATTTGTAAACACCTCATGATCAGTACTGTATGGGTTGATAACTCAGTTGGCGCCTTGTGACTCTTTCTTGTTCTGAAGTCATTTCTGAGCTGGTATTAGATACTTGGTAGTTGGTTACGTCCAATAGTTCATACGCCATTGTGTGCATCTTGCAAAGTCTTTGCATCGCTCTTACGTCTTCGAATTCCATTCCATTACCAGAAACATTGGTGAAAACTGCAACCAAGGGCCCCAACAAACGACTCATCCGAAAAAAAGTATGGCACGAGCAAGTATAGGCAAGGCTTTATTCAGGCAAGCTGAAAATGATGTCTATCTTCACATTCCCGGCGATCACGCCACCCAACCATATGCTAATGACGATCCCTCCACCCATTCATCTGCTAATGACGATCCCTCCACCCATAAATATGCTAATGACGATCCCTCCAGCCATAAATATGCTAATGACGATCCCTCCACCCACCTATATGCTAATGACGATCCCTCCACCCACCTATATGCTAATGACGATCCCTCCACCCATCCATCTGCTAATGACGATCCCTCCACCCACCTATATGCTAATGACGATCCCTCCACCCACCTATATGCTAATGACGATCCCTCCACCCAACCTGGCGATGATCCCTGCATCCAGCCATATGCTGTTGCATATGACGATGATGATGATGATGGCAATGACAGCCACCTACCCACAGCACCTGGTACTGCAGCTGGCGATACTTCGCGAACGACACCTAGCGACTCTGGTGATGACGACATCCAACCATATGCTGTCAGGTACCGGAGAGATGATGATGATGATGACGGCGATGACGTAACCGCAAAACGTGGCAAATTAGCGGCAGGCAACGGGCTCAAAATAGGTATGTACCACTTTTGATGGCCTCAACATTCATGTCTGAATCTTTGATTGGCCCTTTTTGAATGCTGTTTCCTGCTTTTTTTTTAAATTCAAGTTCAGCATTTTGTTTTCCTTTCAGTAGACATGGAGTTAAGTTCGTTAATGATACTGATTTTTTTTCAGGACGTAGTTTGTGGCAGGTGATCGCTGCCGTACTGACAGTCGGGACCGGAGTGGCATTGATTGTTGGCGGCATCTTTGCCATGAAATCCAGCCTGGGGGGTTCTCGGATGGTAAGTTTTAGTCTATTCTGTCAAAACCTTTAGATTCAATGTCAACAACCCTAAACATAAGAATACCTTGCCTCCTATGTACTAGTAGCCTTTCATGGGCCTTTCCCTTACTCAGAACTAGTAACGAACTGTCCCAAGTGTGGCCACACACATTTTTGTTCTTGTTTATTGTAGTCACCCTGCACACTAGCTTGAGGGATTAGCCCGATTCAGTAGTTTGTTTTCTTATTGACACATTTTTTTTTCCTTTTTACGCACCACCAGCACCACCGGCCGCACTTGGGCGTGCACCTTTTTTTCCCCTGAGCGTGATGTCCCGTGAGGGACCTTTGCTCAGTATTAGATAAGATAAGAAGATAAGATAAGATAAGTAGCTTCCTGGTGCTCCTCAACTTGAGATAGGTTAATGGAACAGAAAACGCAATTGTTGATGTGATCACTAAGTTATTGATAACCAAATACATGTTCCTATCTACAGTCGCCAACGGTGGAGACTGTTTCAGCGACTGGATTCCCCGGCTGCAGCACTGCTGTGACCACCATGACTGTGAGTGTTACAGCTCGTTATCCCCTTTTGTCTTCTCATGCTATGGGCAGATCACCAAAGTCTTCTTGAATGTAACTCTCATCACATTTTTAGATCATTAGAAAAATGCGGAAAGAAGCTCCAACCTCCGGGATTTGAAACTAAAGCCAATTCGCTAATGTACTGAAGATACTCTGTTGATACTGACTCTAGCATCTCACGATAGATACTATGTAGGCTTAGATGCTATTGAAGAAGTTAAATTGGTATAGCTTCAAACGCTATTCAAATGCTATTTTTCGGAAAATAAAACCTCCATATGCATAATGAATGGATACAGTGGTCCTAAAACATACAAACGCGGATGAAGAAAATGAATTGGATATGCACTGCAATGATCATCGATTACTTCTAATATAAATATTTACCATTAAACTCACAGGACAAGAATTTCAGCGTATCTTCTGTGGAGGCACCTCCAACACTGCCGGCAAACCCTACAAACTTACAGGGTACGTCGCGTTATCTTTTTATTAAGATTTATCACATTTGTGAAAGGACTGACACTATCACCTTTTCAATCTGTCAACCCAGAGTGAGATACAGATTGGCAGTAAGTATTCCAAAATGTGAATATTCCAGATACGACTTTATTCTTCATTACAGAAATGGATGGCAGAATTTTGGAGATGATAACCTTTGGTGGGAAGGGACGAGAGCCAGGGAAATTTTGGCAGAACTATGGAGTGGCCGTGTCTGCTGACAACGAAATATTCATTACTGATTGGTTTAACAACCGAATCCAAATCTTTGACATGAATGGGACCTATCTCCGCCTCTTCCCAACAGTAGTGCCGGGGGAATATAGGGAATTGTTCCCTTATAGTCTTGCTTTTGATGTGGATCCAGACTACCTATGGGTACTGGGGAGTAAAACTTATGGTATAAAGAAAGGAGGATATGTCGTTCAGTACAGTAGAGAAGGTCAGCCTATAAAAAAGTTTGACGTACAGTTCAACTTCATGAGCTTTGATTCCAAGCCTGTCATTGCCATAGACGCGCGCTACAATAAAGTTATCGTGGGGGAGGGAGATACAATAATGTTGTTCCATCCAAATGGCTCTCTTTATCGGAGTTTAAAAGGGTTAGTACCCAAAGCCTCGACAGTGGGGAAAATCGGAGGAGTCGCATTGGACAGAGATGGAAATATCATGTTTACGGACTCACATAAAAGCATCAAG